TTGCTATGTTTTGGCAACATAAATTGTATGTGAATGTATTTATTTAAATATTCTGAATGAAGACAAAGGTGATTTTTAAAGTCTGAGAAATAAAATTCAGGTAGGTTCTCTGATTTTTTTTTTTTATAATAGAATTCAGCTGAGTCAGAGAATTAAGACATCTTTCAGTGTTTAAATTTCTCTTGTTTTTGAAAATATAACAGAAAAAATATAATAATGAAAGCACATTTTGATTTCTTATACTTATCTGAGAGTGCATTTATTGGTGTATTATGTATGATAGATAAAGCGTTCTCAAGGCTATGTATATTTTATTACTACACAGATCTTTTCATATGAGAGTGGTATGAAACCAACAGTGCATGAATAGTCCCGGTGTGATGATACTGGAGAACTAATCTGACACAAGCTGTGAGTGTTGAGATGCAGCATTATGGCTACAAGAGAACAAATGTGCAACCAGATTCGTGTGTGTATTCTGGGCATTATGAAGAGGTAAAAGCAGATGAGAAAAAAAATTGTTCATGTGTAGTTCAAATATTATGGTAATGGGAAAGATGGTGGGAAAGCAGGTATTGCAGATAAGTCCCACCTGACACGTAAATAGCTGTGCGTGGATAGCTCCAATTAGGTGGCAGATGCCTTGGAAGAGGCATAGGGATAATTCCTTTACTGTGTAGAAGTTAATTTTCTCACCATCGCTTATTCTAGAAACATTATTAAGATGAATAAATGTGGAAAGTTTCAAGTTTTTAAGGTTTGTCAATATTTAATAAAGGTACTTGAAGAAATGTTATCCAACTAGTCCAACATTTCAAAAACAAGTCTCTTACAGTGAACATGTTAAAAACAAGTAACTTTATCACTTAAAACATCACAAAAACTTCAGTCCTGCCAATTCAATAAGCAGGAGGAGTTTGGGAAGGAAATATTTTAGTTTTCAATTCAATTCAACCTTAGACCTGGAATCGTAATTGTGGCTTTATAATTATTGCTACCCAAACTCTAAATTTGAAGTGGATAAAAATGAAGTTTGTTCTAGTACAAACTCTTGGCTAAATCCATAATTACAGTTCAGCTGATGGTGCACTCCTAAAGTATGCGCAACCAGTGCATTGGGGGGAGGTAGGCTGGTTCAGTGATTAGAACACTTGCCTTTGGCTCAGGAGACCTGGTTCAAGTCCTTGTTCAACCACAGATGTTCTGTGTAAACTTGAACAAGTCACTTAGTCTCTCTGTGCCTTTGTTCCTCAACTGTTAATGGAGATAAAAGTACCTCACTACCACAAAAGAGTGTTGTGAGAATAAATACATTAAGGATGGTGCGGTGCTCAGATACTATGGTAATGGAGCCATATACGTGCATAAGACAGAATGCTGAAGGCCTCCTAAAGGTAGGTTAGCACATTTCCTTCATTTAAGAAAAATACAGTATGTAGGAGAAAAGAAGTGAGGCTAAAGAAACAGTAGGGGAGAGAAGAAAAGGAAGACATGTAGGGAGAGGAGAGAAGCCAGGTGGAGGCAAGAGCTGGTGAGTGAAAATGCAAGGGAATAAGGAGGCAAGAGAAGTGGATTAAGAAATGGGTGAAGAAAAAGGGAAAGTGGATGAAGAAATGGGGACTGAGAAGAGACTCCTACTTTGAGATAAACTTCCCACATGACTACAACTTGTAGGGCAGTTATCTTACTTCAGCACCACAGTATTACTATTAATCCTACCTCTTCACACAGATAAAAGGGAGAAGGAACAGCTAATGTAGAACTGTTTATATTAGATTCCTGAGAGGAAGAATTTAAACCGAAAAAATGTGAATGAGAATTGGGAATTGTTTAAGAACGCTTACTCGAGGCACAAAAAGCCACAATCCCCCAATCGAGGAGGAAGGCCATATTGATTATGAAAAAACAGCACCTGGTTTACAGGGGAAGAGGGAAAAAAACAACATATAACAAATGGAAGAAATGGGAAATTGATTCTAATGAATATAAACCAGAAAACTGTAGTTGTACAAAATTGATAAGGGAAGCAAAGGGACACAAGGAGAAATCTATGGCCAAGAGAATTAAAGTCAATAGGGAGTAGCTTTTAAAGTATATTAGGAACAAAAAGAATCCTAATGGTATTGGTCCATTACTAGATGGATATGTTAGCATTATCAATAATAATGCAGAAAAGGCAGAAGTATTCAATAAATATTTCTATTCTGTATTTGGGAAAAAACAGATGATGTAGTCATGTCATATATGTTAACACTCTGTCTATACCATTAGTATGTCAGAAAACAGCAGCTTCTAAATTCAGCAGATCCAAATCACTCACATCTGAGAGTTTTAAAAGAGCTAACTGAGGAGTTCACTGGAGTGTTAATGGTCATGGTTTTCTGGGGAAGTTCCAGAAGTCTGGAAGCTAATGTTGTGCCAATATTTAAAACGGGTAAATGGGATGACCCAGGTAATTATAGGCCTGTCAGCCCAACATCTATCCCGGGCATGCTAATGGTGCAACTCATATGGGCCTCTCCCAATAAAGAACTAAAAGACGGTAAAATAAACAATGCAAATGAACATGGGTTTATGTAAAACAGAGCTTGTTAAACTGACCGGTTATCTTTTTTTTGATGAAATACAAGGTTGGTTGATAAAGGTAATAGTGTTGATGTAATAGACTTAGACTTCTGTAAGGCAATTGACTTGATACTGCATGATATTTTGTTTAAAAAACTTGTATGATATAAAATTAGCATAGCACGTATTAGATGCATTAAAAAGTTGGCTAACTGATAGGTCTCAAAATGTAATTGTAAACAGGGAATTGTCATCAAATGGGTATGTTTCCAGTGATATCCTGCAGTTCTTGTCCCTATGCTATTTAACATTTTTGTTAGTGACCTGGAAGAAAACAAAATAATCAGTGATAAGCTTTGCAAACTTTGCAAATGACACAAATATTAGGGAAATGGTAAATAATGAAGAGGACAGGTCACTGATACAGATCGATCTGGATCTCTTGGAAAGCTGGGTGCAAATAACATGTTTTAATATGGCTAAATGTAAATGTAGAGATCTAAGAACAAAAAAATGTACACCATAGAGATGCTCTAGGAATTATTTTAGGAAGTTCTATGGCCTGTGTTATAGAGGAGGTCAAACTAGCGGATCACAATAGTCCATTCCGGCCTTGGAATCTATGAATCTAGTGCAAAAGATATTGGCTGCACAGCTGTGTTACATTATTTTCATGCTTCTGCTGGGGAGGAAGCCACTGCCTTTTGTTAAAAATAATTGATGCAAAATTACTTTTGATGATTTTTCAAATCACATGTAGAATGAAAATTTACTGCAAATATTTCCAGAGGTGCTCATCACCAGTATCAGAAGGGTGCACCATGATTCTAAGCACTGGCGAAACCTCTTTGCTTCAATTAGCAATGTTGTAGATGGAGCTAGGCAGTTTGTAAGCAGTTGACTTGTTACTCCAAGTGTAAAATTTCATGGAGGGCCCAATCCTGAGAAAAAAATTACAGCCTAAGGAAAAGGCTGCTCTCATGTGAAAACTTCATTATGTTAGAGCATGAAATCCCAGCTTCCAAAGTGAAAGCAACTCCCAGATAGTCTTCAAAGTTGGGCTGCATTCAGCTACTGTAAGTTGAGATAGTAGCAGATGCTACCTTCAGCACCCCCAACCTCACAAATTATTATTGTTCACAGACCAACCAACCGTTTCTTTGGCATGTCCCATATTTCCTTTTCCATGATACTCTACAAACACCTGCCATACAAGTCTCCTCTATGGATAAATATGATGGTGCAGTCTCCTTGCATGCTAGCTTACTGGATTCTAATGGTTTAACTGACACTATGACTTTCCTCATTGTTGTGACTGAATATGGCATGTGTATGCACATGCATGCCCACTTTTCTTTTTTCTGAATTGAAGGAGTGAGAGACGGGTTTGCTTCTGCTGCGTTCAGAAACTGCTCATGTTGAGCTTATTGCTTTGATTATTATGCAGGAACTATTATCCATAGAAAAAGGACAAGTTTGTGTTTCCCCAAATCAAAGTGCTTTTCACGCTCCATTTCTTTAATGCATACTTATATTGTTTTCCATTTAAATATTAAACAGTTAAGCTTAGTGGTGAGAAGATTAAATATCCTGATCCTGCACGATTTGGAAAGCATTGTTCATCAGTAGATTAGTTCAGCAGTACAGTTGATTTATTCAACAAATGAGCAACGAAGGCTTTGTGTGTGTTTTGCTCTAAAACAAGAATAAATAGCTCTCTTAAGAAACCCCAGTATTAAACAATACCAAAAAGAATAGGTTACAGGATTTTTCATAATTTTATACACAGACACCAACATGTTTTGGGTTGTGAAGCATTATCATTAAATAACCTGCAGAATTTAACAATTTTCTTGCAGAATCTTTTACAAATGTACAGAATTTTCACAGATATAATCAAGTGCTAAATGGGGGGGTGGGGGGGAGGGCTTCTCTCACTGCTCAGTTGATCAACTTTTTATCTGGCATTTCCCTCTTCTATCCACTATTCACCGGATTTTTGCCTAGCACTTTCTCTGCTGTCTTCCCAGTGTCCCTCTCACTTCAGCACACTGCTTCCCTGTTCACCTTCTGACTGTTTGCATGACCCCTGCTTTGATGTTTGCCTGATGAGTCCCCTCCTGCAGCACGACATGCTATTTAGAATTTATTGACTGTTTCCTCCATTTTTTACTTAATTGGTATTTCACTAAAAAAAAATCTCCAATGAGAAACCTTTTCCAGATGCCCGTTTGAAGCCAGATCCTGCAGACTTTTACTCATGTAAGTAGTCTTCACTCAGATGGAACTACTTCAATGACTACTGATGTAAGGATTACTTGGTAAGAGGGGGCAAATTCTGAAGGATCATACCCTTGTTGAGCAATGCATTGTAAGGTGAACACCACAAAATTCCTTGTGCATGCTGCAGGGTGCGGTTTGTATAGATCACCCACCTGTCAAATAGCTCCCCTCCTGTGACCAACTCCAGAACAAGACTGATTTCTGTGGGGGTTTCAAATATCTCCTTCAGTTTTATCTGGGAAAAGATACCAAACAGAGTAATTAATTTCTGATTTCTCTCTTCAACTGAGTCCATGCACTGTACAATAGACTACAACTAGGGGACTGTAGTGAAGTGGAAGATGGTACTAACAGCGATTACAGGGTTCACACTCAGATCAGTTAAGCAATTTATTGTAAGTATTGTTTATGGCGCTTAATTATTTCTTTTTTGCTTCTTTTTATCTCCTCTGGGATCCCTCTTTCTTTCATCCCTACACACTCACCTCTCATAACTCAGCAACCCTCTCTCAAATGCAGGAAGATTAGAGACTGCTTTAAGGCCCATCAGCACCTCTTCATGAGTCTTACAGAGGAATTCCCTGAAGACAAACGCAAGGCTTTCCCTCTCTCCAGGGACTAACAACCATGACACCACCAGCTGGTTCTATTTATCCCTTTTCTGCCAGGTTCCCCTTTAAGCAAAAGGCTTGTTTTTGTAAATTCTGTCTCGCTACTTGGCAGAAACTTTAATAATTTACTTTAAAATGTAACTCTGACCCAATGATCTTAGATAAAAACCCAGATCTTTAATCAAAGCCTCATATATTAGCATACAATGTGAGCTATAAAGATCAATACTGCAGTCTCAGAAACTGAATACATTGTTAATGAGAGGAAACCGTGAAATACTGTAAAAATACCCACTTACAATGTTTGGATGCGAGAGGCGAAGGAGAACACCTATTTCAGTTCGGACAATTTTCTTGTCTACCTGGTTAAAAGAAAAAAAAGATGTGAAATGTGACTGCAATACTCATCTGAGAAATATCTGACGGCATTACAGGAAAATGTCCATGAGCAGATTGCTAGATTTCTTAGGAGAATGATTTGTGTCTCTTGCACTGAAGTCTAACAGGTAATTATCCCTCTGTATGGAAGAGAATGAGAGTTTGCCCATGCTCTGGAATAATGTACATTTTCTCTCTAGAACATTTACATTGTTGCAAGCCCATGCAAGACAGCAAACATATGAAAGACAAGCCTGAAAAAGAGGCTAGAGATTGTATTTGCTATTCTGTCCCTGTGCATCTCCAGTACACCGGGGATGAATGTGGCCCAAAATGATGCGTTTAACAGTGTCTGTCAGGTTAGTCGGGAAGGAAAGGATTCTTCACGCTTAGGTGGAGTTTATACCTTTTGTGGTATATTTTGCTATAAAATTAAAAGGTGAATGTAAAAGATGTTATTTCCCTGTACGGGACAAACAACCCTCAGCCGGAGCCCAAAGCCAGGTGTAAGGTTTGACTTGCTTCAGAGACACCTCTAAAGCAAAGGTATACGGGTGCACCTCATTTCAATTAAATTCTGAGAAGGACCCTCCTCCCATTTGCTGCTCAACAACCACTCTTCCAAGATCTTGTCTCTTGCTCCAGATTCAGTTTCCATCTCCCCTGCAGCAAATCTCACTTATAGTAAAGCTGAGGGCCAATTCCCCACAGCTGGTCCAGCCCTACTGCACAGCAGGGTCCTTCACTCAGGATGACAACTGTGCTCCTACTAGCCATAGGAAGAGGGTTAACCCCTTCCAGGTTTGGAGAGGGTCTGTGTACCCCATCATACTCAGGTACTGAAGTGCATGAATGAGTGAATGAAAAAAAACCTGTTAAGTTTGAAAACATGTCATGAAGTTTATTTTATTTATTTAGCTAAAGTAATCAGTAAGTTGATGGAGGAACTGTCCTAGTAACAGATACTTTCATAAAATGAAGAGCCAACATGGATCAAGGTAACCCTGTTATAATAAAAGAGAATGGGAAATATGAAGGATTCCACCCTCAAATGCATTTCACTATTCTTGTACAGGCCTTCAGAAATGATAGCTTTTCCATTTCCTAGCACAGTTTGTAGAAATACTTGTGACATAACTGTTTTTTTTAAATGCATGGTCCTGTTGCGTTAGCTATCCTGCAGAGAGGGAGTGGTTTTTGTTTGTTTTGTTTCACACAAGAACTCAATGTTATCCAAGGGAATTCACCCTGTAAGGTAGAAAATTGCCTGACGAACAAGTGGAACTTTATACTCAAGATTTGTGCCTGTACTGAGGAGGCATATTCTTGAGTACTTATCATGATTGTGTCTAGAAAGTAAGAAACAAATGTTTTAAAAAGCCTTCATGTTATAGAAGCAGGATACCATTTGGAAAGAGGCAGCACTCTGCTTAAACACAAGCTTCGTAAATTTTTACCTCGATTGTAGGGAAACATTTTGCTTCAACGGGGAACAAATACAACAGTTGTTTTTCCAGTGACAACAAGCTTCAAATATTTTTCATTTTCAAAATTACAACAGAGATATAAAGCTCAATTCTCCTCTCACTTACATAAGTGTAAATCAGCTGGAGTCTATGGTGTTACACTGGGGCGAAGGTGGTCTATGCAAGTACAGAATTAGACCTGTAGTCCTTCCTTGAAACTGCTCATTTTAGTTTGCTCTGACAGGAGACCAAAAAAGAAGAGCAACCTTGAAGAGACACTGTGAAGGGGTTCCCTTGTCCGACCAGCACGAAGAGGCAAAAATGAAAAGGGACTGAAATAGTTGAGTGAAAACGCTGTGTGGACTTCGCTGTAAAGCTGCTTCATAGTAGCAAGCCAGATAAATGTCAGTAAAGGTAATCAACTGAGACTACTCTCAGAACGTGTCAATCAAACTGACCTCAAAGTATAAGTCCTCCCAAAGACCCACACTGCATTGGAAGCAACATCTTTGTACTCATGTTCTGATTGTGCCCCCATTTTTAAAAAAAAAAAAAAAAAAGTAGGGAGCTTATCATCCCGGCACAGGCCATGCAGGCTTATGCCATAGCAGAGACTAGGTATACTGGGTTATACATGTGGCAGTTTTCATCACTATTGCATTATGGGCATCTGTCTTCTGGTTTTGAATCCCACTTCCTTCCTACATGTTAACAAGTATATCAAAACATTGACTTGGTGATGATATTCTCATCCGATGCTCCTTTCTAGTAAGCGGCCATGTGTGGATGGAGTGAGGTGTAGCTGGCATCATTTCCTCGCTCCTGAAGACAGTAAACATCATGTCTTAGATCTTGACTTTTCTAGCTTGTCCTTTAGAAATAGCTTTTTCAAATTCTAGCAGTTGGCATATTTAACTCCTATGAAAGTTGAAAGGTTGGATTACTACATTTCAAAGCTGGAAATAGGAGTAATGTGGCCTAATGATAATGCTACGTGATGCCAAGCAGAACACAGAGATTGATTCTAGTTGGGACAATCTCCACAAAAGTTTGGAGAGTCAGATAAGAAGGAAAGAAAATGGGACTGTGACACCTCCAGGTGCACTTACACTACTATTGTGAAAATCATGGGGGGGGGGGTTAAGTGAAATGGAGGGTGTAATGGGATCCCAGGGGTGCAGCCTGGGACTGAGAGACCACTGTGCCCTCTTAACTCTCCAGCCTGGGCTGTCTCTCACAATGCTTTGCTAGTGACAAGCAGAAAACCCCTCCAGGTACTGTTACCACTCTGCTGGACAATGGCTGGTGATGTCTGTTCAGCACCCACCCAGGCGTTGGTTACCTCCCTTGTCATTGTTTCTGGAAAGCTAGTATCTGGGTGCTTCCCAAACCCACAGCATATTTTAGTGAAAACTATACAACACAATTCTTATAATTTTATATGCATTAATGATACATATGTTTAGATGGAACAATGGGTTTCAGCAGATCATAATCTTTCCCCTGATACCTCACATGACATGCTTTATATGCAATATCACAATTATATACAGATGAGGAATATGGGGGTTACAGGGTGCTCCCCCGAAGTATAGTGTGTCACAGAGGGTCCATAACCAAACTTTCCTAAACTTCGAAGATATTGGCTCAGTTTGAAATGTCAGATTACATTCTTTCTCACAAGTGGCATGCCCTCTCAGGCTGTATACTCATCTCCACAATGAGGGGAGCTTCTTGTTGCTCAAGAAGAAGCATTACCTGAACAATAAATAGTTTTGTTAGTATTAACCGATAGATTTCAAAAAATAATTGTAAGTGGTGAAATGCCATTGAAAGGAGGTGTTTTTAGCGATGTGCTGCAGGGAACTGATCTCAGCTGATTATTATTCAATATCTTTATCAATGATTTAGAGAAATATATAAAACCAGTGCTGGCAAAATTTGCAAAATTACAAAAAAAATTGGTGGAGTGGTAAATCATTAAGGGGATAGGTCAGTTATATAGACCAATCGGGATCGCTCGATTAGATGGACTCATTTGAACAGCATGCTTGTTAACACAGCCAAACGCAAGGTCATACACCTAACAATAATATATGTGGGACACACTTATAAAATGAGAAACTATATTCTGAAAAGCAGTGACTCTGAAAAGGACTTTCGGGTCATGGGAGACAATCAGCAATCTTGTAGCTCAGAGGGTGAATGCAATCCTTGGATATATAAGCCAGGGAATATGAAGTAGAAGTAAGGAGGTAGTATTACCTCTGCATTAGTGAGGCCATTGATGGAATATCATGTCCAGCTCTGGTGTCCACTTTGCAAAAAGAATGTGCTCAGAAACAAGCTACAAGAATGATTTGAGGTCTGGAGAACAAAGCTGTATTGCAAGAAACTAAGAGTCTGTCTGCATATCAGCTGGGAGGTATAATTCCCCAGGCAGACATGCACACACTGGCTCTGCTCAAGCTAGCCCACTAAAAATAGCAGTGTGGCTGGGCAGGGGGTGGGACGGGCAGCATGGGCTAGCCACCCAAGTATGTATCTAGGACCTCAGACGGGGGTCGCCTGAGCCACTGCCCATGCCATCCTGGGCACATACATATTTTCAGTGAACTAACTCAAGCAGAGCTAGCTTGTGTATATCTACCCAAGCTGGGAATCATACCTTCCAGCTGCTGTGTAGAAATATCCTTAATAAGCACCAACTATTTGGAAGAAAGGTTACCAGGTGACTTGATCATGGTCTACAAATACCAACATGGGGAAGAGATTTGTAACAGATGGCTCTTTCATCTAGCAGAAGAAAGCATAACAAGACTCAATGTTATAAATAAGTCAAAAAAAATTAACAGAGGGGGCAATTAACCTCTAGAACAATTTAGCAAAGTTTGTGGTGGATTCTTCATAATTGAAATCCTTAAAGCAAGACTTGATATCGTTTAAAAAGCTACCCTATATCTCAAACTGAAGGTATGGGCTTGATATAGAAATTACTGGGTAAGGTTCTATGGCCTGCGTTATGCAGGACGTCAGACTAGATGATCATGATGGTCCCTTCTAATCTTAAAATCTATGGATACATAACATTAATGAATCTAAATCCCAGTGGTGCAAAGCCTTTTTAGTACAAGGTATTGTGAAGGGCCATCACAGCCCTATAAAAATTACAAGTATTTCTAGTAATAGAAACAGTAACTTCGCATTCAGTGAGTGTATTAAGTGTGTACACTGGACATCTTTTAGGACTTTCAGGTAAGGCAATTGCCTATTTTCCTGTGAGCTGATATAACAACTAAGTGGCTGTGACTGTAAATACTAAGTATGGGCATAATCCTGCAAACCATTACTCAAATGAGCAATCCCTTGACATCAATGAGGCTACTCGTGTGCGTAAAGATTACCCTGTGAGAGTGAAGATTTGGAGGATCAGGCTTTAAATACTTACTAGAGTCTCAAAGTCCATTCCTTCCAGCTAGAAAGGTTTAAGAAGATTGATGAATTCTGGACTTGTTTTC